TTTAATTCCGTCCGCCATGGAAGAATTACTCCGGAGGCGTGGAGTAGAAGTGCAGTGATATTGTCTTCCAAGAATAGCAACAATGCTCTCTTAAAGAACTACAGACCGATTTCCCTTCTAGGTCGCGTCTACGTGCTGTTTTCGAGAGTCATTACGAATCGTCTCGCATACAGAGGCGACGACTTCCAGCCTCCCTAACAAACCGGTTTCCGAATAGTCTTTAATACCATAGACCGCATACATACCCTTTAGCAAATTTTATATTGGACCAAGGAGTACAATTTGCCACTATTTCTTGTGTATGTGGACTATGAAAAGCCTTTGATTCCATCGAAATTCGGGTGGTGGTGCAGTCCCTTCAGTGGTGCCAAATAGACTGTCGGTATATCGAAGTGCTCAAGTTTTTATACAGCAGGGCTAAGATTTGGTCTATCCGAGTATAAAACAAGAGTACGAAGTCTATTCAATTGCCCAATGACCTCAATAGAGCCTCCCAACGGATAGGTCTTAAGATGAACATGGACAAAACAAAGATCATGTATAACGTCCATGTCACACCTATACCGGTAGTTGTTGGGAGTACTAAGCAGCAAGTTGTTGACGAGTATGTTTACCTCAGATAAATAATCCGAGAGAGAGATCCAAGTAAACAGATAACCTTATATTAGTCAGGGAGGAAATATGCGAACTAAAATGTGTAGTGTGGCATTTGACAGCAAATTTCAAATTTCTCGAAGACTGTGACGACGCAACTAAGGACTACTTCTACTTCAGACTACTTCTTTCGCGTCAAAGACTCATTTGAAAGCAGAGACTATTAGTTCACTACGTTAACTATCGATCAAATCCAAGTCTGAGAAATGTTTCTTATTAAGGAATGTTATATGTTAAAAGGAAATTATTAATTTCCGCATCGCAGTGGCGGCGTAAGAGAATCCACTACACTATATGATCCCGTCCTTTGGGTGTCGTAAGAGGAGACAGAGATTATGACAACAGGAGATGGGTAGCAGTAGCAAAACAACTCAAAATAAAATAAAAATCCGGGGATGCTAAGCGTGGCAACTATGGCACCTATAGTAAATATTATGAAGCAAACCTTAAAACATTTAAAAAAAATCAGGACACATTTTCTTATTTTCGATCATTCATTTCTTTTTATTCACAATGTATGGTTTTTTTTTTTTAAATCTTTATTGATTATAGAGGGTTTGATCTATTAGATCATGTCACCCTCATAAGTACACAATCAAATACATATAATCAACAATGATAAATTCACGTAAACAATAATAAAAAATTATCTGTTCTTAATACCTACCAATACTAGTTTATATAGTTTTCTAGCCTTATCCGACAATGGAAAAGCTAAAATACTATTACACAATCCAACACTATTTTTGTCAAAACCTAATAGTTTTCTATATGCTTCGTTCCGTTCACATTCCATCATAATATGGATAGTATCTTCCAGAACTCCACATTTGACACAATTTGGTGAATTCACTTTTTTCATCATAAACGCAAATTTGTTTAATGGAATATGTCCAGAACGAAGCCTCATTGCTGTAATAATGTCTTGCCTTCCCATATTGCATCCTTTAAACCAAAGGAAGCGGGAAAGATGCAGTTGTATCGTTTTGTACCAAATACCTTTTGACAGTGACCTTACATCAAAGTATTCGGACCACTTTTCTGTACAGTTTTCTCGGACTTTAGATAAGAGTTCGGAGAAATAAGGAACACAATCGAAATTATCCCCATCACTTATCGCCTCTTTAGCAAGAATGTCTACCGCCTCATTTCCCTCTAAACCAATATGGGAAGGCACCCATTGTAAGACTATCCTTTTATGGTTCGATTTTAATGTTAAAATATTACTTAATATGTCGTAAGCCAATGGAAAACCGCGACACAGTAAAGTACATCTTTTTAAATGTTGAAGGGCACTGCGAGAATCAGTTAATATCAACAATTTATCATATTTTAGTGACTTGACATAAGATAAGGCTTCCGCAATTGCAATGAGTTCCGCATGCATAACTGAAATTTCCTTACCTAAGCAAAGCTTAATGTATTCTTTGGTTTGAATGTCTAAAAATGCAGCACCCGTTCCTTCTTTATCTTTAGAGCCATCGGTATATATTTTATAGTAATTTGTAAAGTTTTCAGTTAAATGTTTTCGACATAAAGTTTGTAAGTAAAGGGGATTGTACTTATGTTTAGGTGCGTTAACAAATTCTATTTGAGGGTTTATAGAATCAGATATATCCAACTTGCTAATCCACGAATTGAGTGAAAACATTTCTAAGTAAGGACTTGAAAATATACGAGTTTCTTTAAATAATCTATGGGTTGTAACTAGCAGTGGGGTTTTCCTACGTCGCCAATAGAAGCTTTCTTTACGTTCATCAAGGATACATAATAAATTTGTAACAATATTTTCATCAATAGACTTACACTTTAACCAAAATTTACCTGCTAAATATCTTCTTCGAATAAACAATGGCTGTAAAAGCAGTTCCGATTCCATTACATGGATAGGAGTACTTTTGACAAACCCACCAATTATCCGCATACACTGATTTTGTATTATATCTAGTTTTGTTAAATGTGTTTTGTGGCTATTATCAAATAAAAAGCTAGCATAATCCAATCTACTACGTATAATAGCTATATATAAGCGACGCAACTGAACTGGATGTACTCCCCACCCTGGTCCTGTTAAAACTTTTAAAATATTTACAAACTTAAGGGCTTTCTCTTTTATTTCGTTTATGTGCTTGGCCCATCGAAGAGATCGATCTAACCATAACCCTAAATATTTAATGCTTTCAACGATTTTAAGGCTTCTTTTGTTAACCGTTATATTTATGTGTTCTTTTACGCGTCCATTCCTAAATATGCATACTTTACTCTTTGATGAAGATATTTCTAGTCCTAACTCGAAAAATAAACTATTAAGAGTATTCAGAGCTAACTGTATATCAATAACTCCGTTACTGATACTATCACAATTCTTATATATAACAAAATCATCCGCATATTGAGAGATATAAACGTTCTTCACAGTTTTACATATATTAAGAGTAGCTACATTAAACAAAAGAGGAGATAACGGATCTCCTTGGGCTAGACCTCGCCTTGTAAATCTACTGATACACATGTTATCCACAAATATTTTAAGATGTCGTTCATTAAGGAAACTACTAAGATATTGACAAATTTTCGTTCCTACATTAAGTTGATCTAAGGTGTGCAGTAATGCATTTATGTCAACATTATTATACGCATTGTCTAAATCTAAGAAGCATCCTATCGTGGACTGACTCTCTGTAAAACCTATTTGTATCCTTGATACCAAACTACTAAGACTATCTAAGCAGGATCGGGTTCTCCTAAAACCGAACGTATTAGGAGAAAAGACTTTATTTTTTTCCAGAAACCACTCTAGTCTCCCTTTAATAATTAAATGAAAGATTTTGCATAAGCAAGATATAAGTGATATCGGGCGCAAGGACGATACATCATTAATGTCTCTTCCTGGCTTTGGGATCGCTATAATACCAATATCTCTCCATTGTGATGGTATGAAACTGTTTTCGAGAAAAGCATTATACAGCTTGATTAAAATGCATTTGCCATTAAATGGAAGGTGTTTCAACATTGAATACGCTATGCCATCGCATCCAGGAGATGTATCCTTTAATTTAATACATGTATCAAGCTCCTGAATTGAGACCTCTTCCTCTAGTAACATGTTACTAGAACTAAAACTAGCCGGTTCTGGTGAAGCAAAATCTGGCGTTAGACTGCGAAGAAGTATTTCCGCTTTTTCTCTATCTATATGGTGGCTATTATGTGATCTAAAACCTTTCATCCATCTCATCTTTTGCCACATATCCCTAATAGTTGTTGTTTCATTTAACGAATTACAAAACCTCTCCCAATTACGTAATTTAGCCTGACGAATTAACCTCTGTGTGTCTCTAATTTTGTCTTGGAGTATAGCTAAATTCTGAGGTGTTGAGTTACGTCTAAACCTGGCCAGTGCTTGTCTACGAATGGCTACTGACTTCGATATTTCTACATCCCAGTAAGGCTTAGGTACAAATTTAGATTCTGGGTTTTGATTTATTTTAATAAAAGGGATATGAATGTCAGCTGCTAAATTCAAATATTCTAAAAATATATTGTAACATTTTTGAAGGTCAGTAGTATATATTGGGAATTGGTGAAAAAGTTTTTCAAGAGTATTCATGTATCCGTCCCAATTTGCTTTTTTAAAATTTCTTTTAAGATCATACGCTAACCGCTTTTGATATAGAGCTGATATTTTAATCATAAGATGATCACTACCTAAAGTCTCTCGAAGTACCTTCCAATTAAATTTATAGACGATATCAGACGTAATGAGCGATAAATCAGGGGATGACGCTTGTAAGACTCCATTCACAACTCTAATTCGAGTGCTTTCTCCATTATTTAATGCCGCAAAGTTAGCATCTAAAAGAGCATCAAATATTTGTGAACCTCTGTTATCAGTCTTGTACGACCAGCTTGAGTGATGAGCGTTGAAATCCCCAATGATCAAGGTTTTACAACTAAATGTCGAAAATAATTCATCCCAATCTCTTTGGCAGGTACGCACCGACGATGGACAATAAATAGAAACAATATTTTCTAAATCCTGACAGTTAAAAATTTTTACGTAAATAGCTTCTATGCCATCATTACTTAATTGCAAATGTCCCCTAACCGTTTTAATAGATTTGTGTGCTAAAACAGCAACACCCCCATAAGAGTCATTTCTATCATTACGGTAAATATTATAATCTTTAATTTTAATATAAGTTTCAGAATTTAACCATGTTTCGCTTAAGGCTACGATATGTATTTTTTCCTGAGTTAACAAAGGCTCTAAAGACATTAGTTTAGGCTTAACACTTTGAGCATTCCACTGTAAGATATTAAGGTTTACTGTATTACATTTAAGGTTTCTATCCATTAAATAAGTTTAAAACAGTTTTCAACATTGGCCATTCCGAGATATTGTCTACAGTTACCAAAATTAACCACTCAACACCTAATTTTATCACTTTGTAAACTTTCTCTTGCAAACTAAAATTATTAAAAAATATTACTTCCTTTAACCTCACAAGTAGCTCACTAAAAGATATTTTACCAGAAGATTTGTTGTTATTTTCCTCACTATAGCTAGTATTAGGTTCAAATCTATTACTTTGTAATGACGTGTCACGCTCTGTATTTCTTTTCTCCTTTTTTGTTTGGTGTCGGCGGGACGAAGATACATTACTTTCACATTGACTAATATTATCTTCGTTATGCACAATAACATTGGCTGTCACTTCTGCAAAAGTAGGAACATTCTGGGTTGTAGCCGCTTCCCTCTTCGGTGTGTTATAATTATACATCTCCTGCTGGATGTTATTATGTCCTGTAAGTTTTACGTCCATATCTCTATGTGGTGTTGGCGCAACATATATTGTTAAAGCCCTCCTGTATGTGCAATTGAACTCGGCCATTAGTTCTCGCAACTTCCTTTCTTTAAGATAAGCAGGGCAAGACCTAGCTAAAGCCATGTGAGCACCAGAGCAATTGATACATTTGAATGTTTTGGTATCACAATTCTCGTGTCCCCCCCCACACTTGGGGCAGATTGTTTTCTTGAATGGGCATAACTTGCGAATGTGACCCAACCTCCAACATTGTGAGCATTGTGTAACAGGATATATACATAAGGCTGAACAATTATTTTCATATCGAAAATATATACGTATGAAGGTAGGGAAGACCCTTTGAAACAAAGCCGTATGGTTTCACTTGGACACCAACCTTCCTGTTTCGTGTTACTTCGTCGCATAAGCCTTTTTACGGATATTAATTCTGTAGAATCTGAGCAAGATATATTTTTCATAATTTCTTCTTCAGATATTTCTAACTCCACGTCTCTTATAATTCCATAAGAGTAGTTAACCTCCATTGCCTTTTGAATTCTCCATCCCATAGAAATAAATGTCGCACAGGTACTTAATTTCTTAACGCTTTCCTCGTTCGGCAATTGCAACCTTACTTTAAAAGGATTTAAATATTTAACTCTAATTATATCAGTAATTCCGTTTTCTTTGAATAACCGTGCCAAAGCAAATTGCTTGGGCAGCTTTTCAATGCATGTAATATATACCTCGATATCCGTTTCTCTACGTAAGTTCTCATCCTCGAGCAGTCGTTTTTTCTTCCCCTTTCCCTTCACAATACTCCACTCCTCATCACTCTCCTCCGTTTCTCTGATTCTTTTTATAATCCTAGGCGTATTTATATCAATACTATCCCGCTCTTCCACTTCTAATTCTGTAATATCGTCTTGGTTATATATAATATTATTGTTAAATTCTTCATTTTCGTCCGTCATTTTCGTTTATACTCGCAAGTGCTACGGGTAAGCCTGCGCGGAAGCAGGCCGCGCGGCCCTACCTACACGTGTGAGTAAACAATGAACAGCAATCTATACGTAAACACTTAAGAGGGCCCTTCCCGGCCCGTCTATCGTCAACGCGAGCATGGTTAAAAAGCTTGTTGTTTCATCCAGCGCAGTGTTAGAAAAAGAGGCAAAGCGAAAAGAGAAAGACAGCGCCTGAGCGTTCGGTTGGCATTCGGTAACTTACGGGCTCGCTACTATGGCACATAGCTATAGTTTTGTAAATTTCTCTGCATGCCTACATTTAGTAGGTACCATATTATTTTATTATATTACTCTTTGTCTAGTATAGACGTGCCACTTGGCCTCGGAGATATGTGTGTGTTGTTTTTTACCAAACTAGGTATCGTATGTGCGCTATTTTTGACATGGAAATTATTTATGTTATAATTATAAATATAATATATTAAAGAAATTATTTATGTTATAAATAATTTTATAATGTTATAAATAATTTTCCATGTAATAAATAATATGTCGCAAATAAAAATAACTGTCACTCAGAGTCGGCCAACTCGTGTTTGTAAGTACACTCGGCGACACATCAAGCTATACATTTCCAGTATAACATGGCCTCGCTTTGTTTCAATTTCCCGTACAATAAGAATACCGCATAAACTGGTTTATATACCTTGATTTGTCGTCGTGCGTACAAGCCCGGCACGCAAACATTCACAACATATTAGTCGGCCGTTACACGCGCAAACATCAATACTCAGACATAAACTGGACTCAGTTTTGTTTTAGCAGGGTGTTCCATTCAACTTTTATTGTTCGTCCATGTTATACCTAAACAGAGCACGAAAATGTAGAGGTAAATAATTTATTCTGCTTATGGAGTAGCGGTATAAACAGAATAAACTCTTTACCTGTCTAGGCCGTTTGTATTTAGGAAGCTGAAATTAGGTAACGTACCTACTTGTACCGTATGTAAATGTCTCCAAATGTTGTTTAGGTACTAATTTGTACCGAAGTACAGGTGGTTGATTACAAATAAAGTAGTCTAAATAGAGTTGGGTATAAATATATATTTTTATTCTAAAGAACTTTGTTACACTTTATGAACAATACATAAAACAACGCGGTTGTCGAGACGATTCCGATTTGCGAACACAAAGAGTTTACTGTCAGAAGTGATTGAAAATTATTATCTAATAACAATAGTAATATTCTCATTCTCAATAGTAATAAAATCGATCTGCTTCAAAATTCTTATCCAAACAAAGTCTGTGTCCGTATTCACAAATGCCAGGTTCGTTTCACATAAGAAAATAGCTAAACCTTCGCTAGCAAAAGCAGTGTCCGGTATAAAAAAAAAGATCGTTGTAGTAGGTAAAACAGATGTCACTAAATATAAAATGCAACGGCACATTGACGAAGCGCAGTCAACAAACTGAATACCTACTAACAATTCCGAGAGGCCAGAGAGCCGAACGCGTGCGCCACCGGCGCTCGTCATTCAACTCCCCCGTCTAACCCCGCTCCTACCCCGCACGACTTGTCCCCCGCATACCTCTTACTGCCACTTGGCTAATAAGCAAGCGAGAACGCGATATTATTGAGCGAAAAATAGTGTGCGGGAATTTCATAAAACTTGTTCCAGGAAATACGTGTTTTTCAGTAACCGACAAGTTTGTGAAATAAATTTTTATCATTTAGTCAGTCTCCATTACATTGGCGAGGTTTCTATAAAATAATTTCTTTACTTTTACTATTAGTGAGTACATTATGAACGACCAAAGTACAGGTAAAATTTATGCAAAAAAGCAGATTTTTCGAGGCTTATACTGAATTTGTTTCTACAAATTTAGATTTTTTGTTTAGAAAGGAACCTAGATATAGTGCACTAAATACCTATTAATTATATTATATATTAAAATTTTCAAAGAAAGATCTATTACAACGCCATAATCACATACAAGCTTTTGTATGAAAAGTTAGACGGGTTGGCCGCTCTTAACAATGCGCGTGAACGCGTGCTACTCGCCTGACGTTAGACGCGAGACTGAATGTATGGTTATAAATATAAAATTCCATCAAATCTTTTATACATCTACAAATGTATATGTATACTAGCGATTCGCCCCGGATTTCTATGGGTAATTTCTGGATCTCTACAGCAGTGCCAACTTACCTACCTACTTAGGCAAAAACTATATTTATTTCATCAAAATTTATTAAGCCTACTAAAATGTGAAGAGTTACAAACATACACTGCAATTTTATACTTTAAGATATATTATAATCAAAACTGATAAATAAACTGTAAGGTTTACCCTTATTGCATCCAAAAATCAAAGGCTTTAATTTTAAAAAGTCAATTACGTTGGCCCGTAGTAAAAGAGCTACCGAAATTGAAAGTACCGCCGGCAAAAGTGCCGGCAACTGTTTCGATCAGACCTTCGGTTGTTTTTATACTAATGAACATCAGTATAGAAACGATTGAAATGTTCTTTGTTATTGGAATTTTTCCTTTTTTAATTATTTTCTACGGAAAATGATAAGTTTCTTTGAAATTTTCATTATAATCGTCATCATTACTTACCATGTGTCCCACGTGGAAGAGCCTTGCTACAGCTATATTTTGTTGGTTAATGCTACTGTATGGTGAGTGTAGACAAAGTGCGCCTTTTACTGTAATATCCAAATCTTAAATCTTAACTCAAATATTTTTAGACTAAGAGTAAACATAAGCAAGCTATGCTAGTACATGATGATAATAACGATAGGCGGAATTTTGATAAGGTGTAATGTCTATTTATGAAAAATATTGAGAGTGAAACTTATGCTGTAAAAATGCGATCACTAAGATTGTTAGGTGTGGCTCTGAATCGTAGGGCTTAAAAAGTAAGGCTTGCAAGACGTTTTTGTGAAGAGGATTAAGAAAATATTTTTTCGGTGTTTTGAACACGCAGAAAGAAATTATAACCAACTGTAGTAGAAGATAGAAGTCTCCCTTCCCTGCAAGCCCTAACGGTATAAAAACAGTGCACGCGACGCGATCGCTCTTCTTTTGCGTGGGGCCGTTATACGTGTAAGATTGTTCCTAGCATTAGTTTTGTTAATTTTCTTTTTGTGTGTGAATAAAAAAATTGTGTTATAATTCTTTCCTCTTTATTTAAAAAAATAACCTCGAATATGTTTTACATAAGATCAGAAGTGAGATTAAAATACCTACGCGATTCCTTGTCGTTCGCCATTTTGATTCCTTAACTACGCGAATCTTTTATAAAAAGGAAGGAATGTCGGGATGTGAACGTCGCCGCAGTTGACACAATGGTCGAGAGTGACGACGTAGTAAATACCGTGCTCACACTCCGGTTGATGATCTGAGTAAAGGGATAAGTACTGTGTTGGCGCGTTTAAGTGCTTTAGAGAACAGTTTGCTAGCTACCCACACTTCGCAACCTGCTCGCGATTCAACGCCGCCATTCCGGCGCCGGTCAACGTCTCCTGTGGCTAGATGCGTGATATCATCACCCCGCAGCCAGTCTACGCCACCGCGTGAACACCGTATAATGCGTTCCGAAACACCGCCCTTTCAACACGGGCACCGATTGAACCGCATGTTAGTAGGGACGTGGAAAATGCGTCGGCACGTATCCTGAGTGAAGAAAATACGTCGTCTACGGTGGCTACGTCGTCGTCGGATAGTTGATGCAATTCGTTCTATCAACATGGGAGCGAGTTCTAGTCAACACTACTACGTTTCGAACTTTGACCCTAGTATTCACAAGATTGAAGTTTGGTGCAAAGAGGTAGATCGCGCTAAAACTTTGAATAATTGGTCTGATTACGATTGCCTCTCACGTATAGGTAATTGCTTAAAAGGTGACGCCAAAACATGGTTGAACGAGTGGGTAACGAGTGACCGTAGTTGGAGTAGTTTTAAAAAGGAGTTCGTTCCGTTGTGTCCGAAATCACCAGACATTGCAAATATTTTATACGAGATAATGAGTACAAATTCTGATAACTACCCTACATACGCTGACTATGCTCGTCGCTCGTTACTTCGTTTACGTATTGTACGGGGGCTCAGTGATAAGTTAGTGTCTGCAATTGTAATACGCGGGATTACTGATCCACAAATACGAGCAGCCGCCACCAATGCTAAGCTATTACCTGACCAGCTAGTCGAATTTCTCTCTATCTATGTAAAACCAATTATAAGTAAAAATAATAATACTCGACCTACATTGTCTCAAAATACAACCTTTTTCAAAAATAAATCCGTCTCAAATTTAAACCCACGGAAAAGACGTTTTGACGAAGGACGGTGCTTTTTGTGTGGCCAATCGGGACATAGTCTAATTGTAATAAAAAACTTAAAGTTGAAAAAGGTGAAAGCCACTCTAATGCATCCAGTAGTGAAAGTTCAAAGCCTGTCTTTGTGCCAACTAAGTCTGAAATATATTCTTTCTGTAAAAAGGTAGGCCATAAAATTGAAACTTGTTTCGCTAAACATAAGTCAGAGTTACGTAATAAAAATGAGGTAAACTTTTGTCGCGAAAATCAAATTACCCGCAATAGTGACGTTGTGGTAGCCGTTATTCAGGGAGTGCCGGTAGATATTTTACTTGACAGTGGGTCAACTATATCGCTTGTTGAAACATTTTGTTCGTTCACGTAAGCCAGCGTTTCGAGTGTTAAAGGAACTGGGAAGACAGGAACTCGAAAGCACGTCGTACGTAACTTTACCAATCGAGTTTGATGATTTAACCCTCGAAGTAGATTTTTTCGTGGTGGCCTCAGAGTTCATGAATTCGCCGATTATAGTGGGCAAAGATGTTCTTAACAAGGAAGGCGTTAGATATGTTCGTACGCGTGATTATTAGTCACTTGTAAGGGAAACGAGTAAATCAAGCAGCGTGATGACTGTTCTGTCAGAACCGTCTATTCTTGTTAAGACACCTCTTATTGGTAATCATCAATGA